AATCTTTGAAATCTCTGCTTCCAAGGGACTCTAATTTGAACAATGGCAATTAAATGCATGCTATATCAAAGTTTATGATGTCAGGTTCCTGTACTAGACAATTTACCATAGACTGTTAGAAAATGAAGAGAAAGGTAAAGAAAGTTGTTACATTAAAAGGGAGATACTGACTGAATAAACATTGTGATTTACAAATATCTTTGCAAATGAAACACAAATGAGAGAAATAGAAAACACACAGAGATTATCATAAGTCAGCAGGATATTGTGTATTCTGGATCAGCCTCAAAGAACGGTATTCAGCATTTTCATTCCTTTCCATTCTAGAAGTAAGTTAATCACACAAAGCCTACACTGCAGTGCTGTTCATCTGCAGCCTTCCTAGATGTACAGAATTTTAGAGCTGGAAAAGCATGGGCTCTAGTGTTCAATTTACAGCTATGCCACCTACTAGCTACACGACCTTGGCAGATACTAACACTCTAAGCTCGTTTCCTCATCCATAAAATGTGAAAAATAAAGTACTGTATTTCTCTCATGAAGTTATCATGATTCAATGAGCTAATACATGTAGGGAGCATAGCATGAGTTTGTGATGCACTATTATATCTCAGTCCCTCAGTCTTACAGACAACCAATCTAAAGCCTAGAAATGTAAAAACTATTTTGTCCCAAATCACCCAACTACTTAGTGGCAGAGTCAGAGCTGAAAGTCAAGTCCTTTGGTTCACAGTTTAGTCACTTTGTCAACTCTTGTTTGCTATATTTCATTCTCTCTGGCTTTGGCCAAAACTTTAATTATAGTCTTCTCTCCCTTCCCAAATAATTCATTTCAGGCCCTGACTACAAATAAAGGAAAAATACAAAGATGGGATAACTACGTGTTGACTAATAGGTAAATTAAGGGGCAAGCAGAGACATCCTTCCCGGGGGAATTCCTCCAGGAGGCGTTCACTGCTATTGGCCAAATGCTAAACCACCATGGCTCCCATTGTAGGTCTGAAGCCTCAGGGCAGTACATTCTAATCTCGATCATAACTTTATCCTGGAGTCCAAGAAAATCCAGGACAACCAGCTGAGCAGGAAGAGTGTGATAGTTAAAGAATTGGCGACCTCTCTTGTACTACACTAAGATCCTCTTGCTCTTTTGCTTTGAGAACAAAGAAGATGAATTTTGAGTTGTCCCTGTAAGTAACATCTATATGTAAGGAACAAGAATTGAGAAAGAAAATAGGTCTGTAATCATTTTTAGAAGTGGTAGCAACAACAGTACTAGAAATGATAGAAACAAACACTGATAAGAGGTAAACAAACCAGAAAACTGGACAATTAGACAATGCATAAGCTCCAGCACATTTTCCATCTGCAATGTTATAAACCAGGAGACAAAGAAAACATCCCAATGAAAAATCAAAATATTAAGAAGTTAAAATCACTATCATTTAGTCCTCTTTATCAGTCACCACCAAGTAATTAGAAGATCTGGAAAGTTCCCTTGACATGCCTTTTTTTTTTTTTTTTGGTCTCCCACTCTTTTTTTTTTTTTTAATTGAGATATAATTGACAGGTAAAATTGTATTAGTTTTAGGTGTATAAAATGATTTGATATATGCAATATATTGTGAAAAGGCTACCTCAATATATTTAGCTAACATCCATCACTACACATAGTTAAAAATTTTCTTTTTTTGACATGGAATTTTGATGGCTAGTTAGGGAAATACTGAACAGAACAGTAATAGAGGGTTATACTAAATATAAAAATTAAGTAGAAAACAAAGATAAAAAAAGTAGAGGAAATCAGAGAGGAAGAGACAAAGATTTTAGTAAATGTAAAGGAAACCTAAGAGTAGACACTTTGAAGACAAAGGCAAACCCGCCCAGGGATTTGAAATGATATGGTAACGCAAAGCAGCAGCTCTTGGGCAAAATAGAAAGGAAAGCAACATAATTTGGTCAGAGCTGAGATGGGGAGTTTTGAAATGAAAAAAAGAGGATGTGAGAAATGAAAGGAATATAGTAAAGGCAATATTTCCTCTTCTATTTTGACCTTCCAGTATTTTTAAAAGAATATTACAATTTAAAACTGAACATATCTTGTAAAATGGATATTATTGTTTGTAAAGAGAAACCTAAGCACAAAGAGTGAGGAATAAGAATCAGGACAAAAATTCACCAAGGCCTGCCTCAATGCCCTTGTATATACAGCCGTCAGATGAAGTTGCGACAAGCAAAATTATTTTAGGGACAAGTCTATGCTCTATTTTGTTATTAAGCAAATTGGGGGCACACTGACAAAGGATGTCTCTCTTTGTCTACGGAATATTAAAATTGTAATACAAATGAAAATCCAACTAATTTGGTCCTTATGAAATTGCACGTACCCTAAATTAATTAAGATAAATGTAAAGAAATGTCAGATTTTCTGAGACTCTCTGGGAATTCCAGAAACCACAACAAGGTTATTATTATTTTTTTAAATTGCTGTTCTCATTTACATTCTCCAGTGCACAGCATCCCCAGTTTTACAAAGACCTGACTGCATCTTTGGAGACAATAAAACTTGACAGGTAGCTAGGTTAATTCATAGGTAGAAGGATAGACAAGAATTAGCCAAAATTCCTCAAAGCCAGCAGAGAAGACTGCCTTTAAATTTGTGACACCAGCGTCCAGCTACCCCAAGCAAGCTAAAGAGCAGCAAAGCACAACTAACTCTAGGAGAGATAAACAGCACTGCAGTTAAATGGAAGGCTTGGTTAACCACAGTTGAGTACACCTGAGTTGCAGGGTAACCTGATAAGGAACAAGCAGCATGGATTCTAGAAGTGTAAACCATGTGCCCCAACACAGTAGAGCTCTTTGAAAGAGTTAATCAAGTAGTGGATAAGGAGGAACTGATGCATATCATTCAAAAGGTTATTTTTTTTTTAAATGAAGTCTCTCATAAGAGGTAATTAAGAAAATTTAGTAACTATTGTGGATTAGAAATTGATTAATAGACAAAAAACCAGGACCAACACTGATGGTCTCCAAAGATTAATACTAGGCTCATGTACAAATTTATTAATGACCTAGAAGAAGCTTCTGTGGACAGAAAAGGTAAAGAAAGACTGAAAATTGCCAACCATCCACTGAGAAGCCTGAAAAGCCTTGCTAAATAATAGATATAATGAAATTCCCTCTTCAAAAGTAAAGAAATTATTCTTAAAGCATACTGATAGGCTCAAAGTTAATAGTTAAAAAAAAGAGAGAGAGATTAGCAAGATTTACCAGAGTGAGAAAAAGGGGAGAATAAGAGAAGATATGATAAAGATTGACAAAATAACAAATGGCGACGAGAATGCCAGTTAATGTCTCCTATACACATTTTCCTTGATGAAGATACAGAAACTTTATGTAGTTTAAATAAATTCAAATTTAAAATAAAAGAGGACACTATTTTATCCAGCATATAATTAACCCATTGAACAAGTTGTCACAGGACATTAATAAGGCTTAAAGCTTAGCATGGCTCCCGAAGATACCAAAGTTCCTCAGAGATATCAAAATATGGTTCTATAGTAAAGTTACTGAGGGTAAAAAATTAAAATGGAGCACATACCTCATGCTTCAGAGTATTAACTACACAAGGTCAGGAAGGAAGTTTCCCTTCCAATTGCTATATTCAAAGCGATTTATGATTTCAACTTTTAAATATTCCTAATTCCATCCTAGAGTTCAAATTAGATGAATAGACTCTTATTCAGAAACTCTTATTGCGTTTTTTCCAGATACATTTTTTGCCTGCTTATTTTTCTAAATAGCAAAGCCTTCTATTTCACCCAATTCCTCTTCTACTTCACTTATCTCAGCTTCAAAATATTGCCTAAGAAGTGATCGTGAAGAACCACTAAATCAAATATGTAAAAACCCATATTTGGAAAAGAGAGTTCTATAATTTATTAAATTTCCTTACCTTCTTTCTCTAAGTAGAGAAAAATTTAAGTTCATGTAATACTTCAGTTCCATTCATATCACAAAATTAAAATCTGAGCTTGCATGCTGAGATAAATCATATTTAACATTTTAAGTTGCATCCAAGAGCTACAGCAACAAGCATCCCTTTATAAAATGAATTTTAATCAGTAAACCACATAATTTTATGAAGTAAGACACCAGAATGCCACATTAAGAAGGTGCAGCCCTCTAGGCTCTGTCCCCACCGGGGAATGAGCAGTTCATCTAGAAAATGCTATGGCCCCAGTCAGTTCATAAATTCAGCACATAAAGAGCAGGATCTGAGTGAGTTACAGGCAAAACACACACTGAAAGCCTAAGAAACTGTGTCTGAAAAACTGTGTGGGTCGATAAAAAACAGATGTTAAATTTAAAAATTTTGAAAATAATATAATTATGTGTAGGCAACACCAAAGTGATGAGGAGGCAAGTTTACACCTTGTGTCCATTTTGTAATCCAGTCCTCTCCATTTTGGGCTTAGCAATAGGGTGCCACACGTGGTATAAAGCCAGCCGTAGCATTCAAGCTTGACTGAATTTTAAAAGTGACACAGGGATCAAATATGCTCCAAGGGCATTCTAGACTTCAGGGTGCTGTTGACCATTAAAATCAACCTCCTTCATGATCACTTCAAATTTAAACAGTACATAAAGTATAGTCCTCAGGTCAATTTAATACAAGCCCATATATTTCATCTATAAAAAAACAGTGTCCAGAATACATCGCTTGCAAAGAAAATTCTTATTATGCATATCTAAAAAGACAATGTAATTCCAGAATTAAAAATAAGCAGATGATATTCTAAAACACAGGATTTATATGTTTCTTCTCAAGCATAAATTAATAATTTGCTTTAGAATGCCAATAAAGCAATATCCTTAAAAGATGGAACAAATAGAAAACTAAGCAGCAGAAGCCCTTATATGGTATTTGGTTTGGGAGACAAAAGAAGAAAGGCATATTTCAAACAGATGGAAAGTGAAATTATTAAAGTTATCCTTACCTGCATTAATTTTCCTTCTGCTGGAGTTATTTCAGCAACACCAGCAAACACACCTTCCAAAGTGAGATTCAGTTTTCCTGTGGGGTCCATTTTCAAGGGGATCACTCTGATAATAGCTTTCTGCTCTGCTGATCTTTCAGACTCCACCGCTGCTGCCAGTACCAGTCCTGTGTGTCCAAAGCCTGCCTGCAGGGTAGCCATCAGCAGCCAGGGCCAGAGGGCAGCCAGCTGCAGCTGGTGGCCAACACTCATGCTACCAGCTGCAGCAATGCACTTCGGCCATACATACTGCTTCCACTAGCTAATACCAAACGCAGGTTCTCAGATCCAGACAAATGGAGGAAAAGAGAATTTATGCTTCAGTTTCAGAAAGCCAAGTCATAGTTTTGGCCCTTCCTTTCTCTAAAGTATATTCCCAAGAACAGGTGGCATTCCTGATCTGGCAGGGAAGAGAGGGTTTTCAGCCCACTTCTGCTGCAGGTATGTCATTTTCTCCCATCTTCACTATGATTAGTAAAGATACCACCACTTCACCATGGAATTTCCAACTTTGCTTGAGGTTGAATGTCACAACGTGAATTTTTATTATGTCAGATCACTTGGCGCTGGTCTTCCATATGCATCAAGTTGCCCAGCCACTAAACCCAATGTTAACGAACAAAACAAGGCAAAGTAGACGACTAAGGCCGTGCATCGAAGGTGCGAGTGGAAAACTCCAGCTCAGAAAATGAAGAGATAGTCCTTTTCAAGTCACAAAATTTGTCAGATCACAGGAGAATTTTTTTTTAATGGGGAAGGAGAGAGAACAATATTTCAGGCTACCTCTGAGAGATATCCAAAGATGCTACAACATGTATTCATAAAAGTGTCCACATTAAACTGTATTTCGGTGGAGTCAAAGTTCTAGGGCCACTGAATTTATAATACTTTTCATGAACTTAAATATACTATAATTTTTTAAATGTTCTACCTAAATTTGCTTATAAATTAAGCGCTAATTTATATACCTTCACATATTACAGGATAATCCTGAGCATCACAACCTTTTCTAACTTTCATAATTAGAAGAATATTTGAAAAGGTCAGTTTTCCAATTATTTTTCCCAGTTAAAATGCATATTTCTATCTTTATTTTCCTTTCACTCTTAGAGATTCCAGCTTTTATTCTCCTTTTTGAGAATGCCAAGCACTTTGATTTCCCATGAGATGCTTTTGGAAACTACTTTATTATCCAGCTCTTATAATCTGTAATTTTCTAGGTCCATAAGTAAAACAAAGGACTATTCCTAACACGTTTTCAAATTCCTTGAGGGGGTGGGGAATTAAAGCTAGGGGAGTAGGGAGGTGATTAGTCTACAGGCTCTAAGTAGAACACCCTGAAAAAGTAAAAATAAGCCTGAGGAGAGTAGATCTGTGCTATTTCTAGGCACACTTGAGAATTTGAGTTTTTGTACAAACGAAATCTTATTTGAAGATTTTAAAATGTGCACCCTTAAGTAAATATAAATGCACTTCAACCACAAAGCCCGCTGTGTTCAGAGGTCAAGTTAAAAAATCGTATAAAGTCTTCAGAATAAGCGCTGAAAAGCCAAGCAATTGAACATGAACCTGTTATATAGATTCTTTTCTTTTGCTGAGGCAGAGGGAGGGGGAAAAAAAAACAATTTCAAAAGAAATCTGCAAACCTGTTGCGCTGCCGGGCCCACTGGAATCCACGGGGGTGAAACAAATTCAATTATGCTTTTATAGATCCTGCTCAAAAAAGGTTTCAACTGCTTAACCAAGTACAGCTCATTCTTCCACCTTCTTACTCTGCAACCAAACCAAGAACCCCACACTGCAGGTAGGTGCCGAGAAATTCCGCAGCCTGAAAAAATAATCCATGCAGGTCAAAGGCAGAAACTTACTCCAAGGTTAGAGCTACTGTCCCCAAGAACTCTAAACACACTTATAGAGGATCCAAACTCATTTCTGAAATTTCCTTTCTAACAAAAGTTCTTTTTCTCCCCGAACAGCATATAAAATGATCAAATCTTGAAAGAGAAAAGAAGCAAAGTAGCAAATACATCAGCAACACTTCACTACCAGGAACACAGAAAATCCCAAGGGGAGAAGGCAATATCTCTGAATCATGGATGGACTTGGAAAGTTCGGAAGGATTCGAGTGCTTCCCTTCCAGAAAGACAATTCTGGATCAGCTCCCAAGAGGAGGAAGCCTGTGGTTTGTAATTGGTGTTCTAGCTCTGACTCCCTCCCCTGGGACTGCAATCACGCTCTCTACCTGCTGACACAAAGTGAGGGTGGAGCAGCCAGAGGCAACCACCACCCCCTCTGGCCCCTCCTCCTCCTGGCAGGCTAGGGCACGGGCTTGGGTGCGCGCACACTTACTTAACCAGACACGTTCTTTTGCTCTTGCTTCCCTCTCAGCTCCTCTACTCCCTCTATTGAGCTACAGCCAAACTGCATCCAATTCAATCCTCCATACCTTTCTCTGGGTAAGCAAGCTACCACATGTAAATCAGGGCCACTCAAACAGATACCTGAGCCGATTCTGTACCCAAGAGAGGATAGATGGTGGCATGAGGAAATAAAGAGAAATAAAGGAAACTCAGAAGATAAAAGAATGGACACAAAGTTTTGCAAATATAAGTTCAAAGGGATTTCTGCTCTTTCCGGGTTTTAGTGTCTATAAATGGCACAAAGCCAGAATAAAGTGATCCTGTGCTGTAAACACTTACTGATTTATTGCTGTCCTATGTCTGCTACTCTGGCAAGAACTCTTGTCCATTTTATGCATAGTTTTTCTTCAACTTTTACTAACTTAAATTCAGTAGCTCTTTCTAAACTATGCCTGTATGGAGCATTTAGATCAGGTTGATGTCAGAGGTCTAGAATCTGTTATTTTCTTCTTAGATCTTTGTGAGATGAAATAATCCTATGGATCAGACCTATGCCCTCAAAGTAAGATTGCAGGTAAGTCTATGTCATAAATACAAGCAAAGGGGCAAAATACATATGCTTAATGAGAAGAGTATAGGCAAAAAGAAAACTAAGTTTTGGTTTATTACCACATTCATGAACTATAACCCTTCTAGTAACCTTGTCATTAGAAATAATGAAAAGTTTCCAACATACGTTTCTAAAATTTGAATTTTCAAATTACCAGATTGTATTTGACCGTGGCCATTTTATTTTTGACCTGCTGCCAATAATCTTTCCAAATTGCACAAATGTGCAACAACGTGAATGTGGTTAACACTACTGAATTGTATACTTAAAAATGGTTAAGATTTATGTTATGTGCTTAAATTTAAATTGTGGTAAGAAGCACATAAAATTTAAAAATTTTTTAAATTGTACAAATGAATTGTACAAATTGATCATCTGTAAAATGTGGATAATTACATTGTAGATTTGTTGTAAATATTAAATGATATGCCTCTGAAAGCAAAAAGCATGAGTAGTCTATTCACCTTGAGCATTTTTTTCCGTAAAGAAGGTTTATGTGGATAGTTTTGGTATTTTAGGCCTAATAACTAACCTGGAGCACAGAGATAAATTCTGATGTAAATTCTTTTTTTTTTTTAAGATTGGGACCTGAGCTAACATCTGTTGCCAATCTTCTTTTTTCTTTTCCTTCTTCTCCTCAAAGCTCCCCAGTACATAGTTGTATATTCTAGTCGTGGGTCCTTCTGGTTGTGGCATGTGGGACGCCGTCTCAGCGTGGCCTGATGAGGCGCCATGTCCGTGCCTGGCATCCGAACCGGCGAAACTCTGGGCCGCCAAAGTGGAGGTGTGAACTTAACCAGTCAGCCACGGGGCCAGCCCCTAAAGTAAATTCTTACTTAGCACTTTTTCTTTATTGGTTGGACTTTAAGAACATAATGCAAGTATAGATCTTTTATAGCTCCTTTTTGAAGAACAGGAATAGATCTAATTCTTCTGGAGAGAATTTTACTAAATCTGCTATGGTTTTATATTTTTATTATGTATGTCATGTACCAGTACAGCATAAATAATGCAAAATATACATTATTATATATCTCATATATGCAAAAACATCTTTAAAATTAAACCAAACAAAAAGTAACCTACTAATGGACTTTGCCTCACCTGTTCCTGCTTGAAACCTGCAAAGGGATGGAGAGATCTAAACGTAAGAGTTAATAGACACACTTAGTTGAAAAAAGGAAGAAAATATAGATGTGGATGCCCTCTTTTGAGGAAACTCTGAGATCTGGGAATGATAATAATATGTATCATGAACCTGGGTTCCTTGAGATACTCAGGATCAAACCAAACAGCTCTAGGTAGTTTAGTTCACTGATAGACCATGTTTATTTAAGCCACTAGAATTGACAAGCAAGAGAAATTATTCTCCAGCTTCAGAGTTTTGGAGTTACTCCTCACCACAACTTCCACAGAGATGTCATAAAGATGCCATCACTATGGTAATGAAATGCCCATCTCACTGACATCTACGCAATCTTACACGTGAGACAGATCCTCCTTCAGGATCTACTTTCACATCTGGATTGACTAAAGTTACTGAAGACCATTCATCTTTTTCCAAAACACTAGGTTTCTATAAACATGTCCAAAAATTGTCCTTATCCTTAATGGCATTTCAAAGATTCAATCTCTATTCACATGCAAATGTAAAAAAAAAAAAGCCAGGACACGTTTTTTTTAAAGTCAGATTCTTTGAAAAACAGAGTACATTCTCTTTTGAACTTTACCATTATGACTAATAGTCATAATAACTGAGATTTCTATGGATCACCAGTCAAACAGTAAACATAAAAACAAGCAAGACAACAAATCTAGTTGAAACACTCACTTTATTGTTGACTGATTGAAATTTATTGTGCTTAAGGTGCTAAAATACTGAGGTGCTAGTCAGTAACCTTGTTAGTATATGTCAGACCCTACTGGTTATTTCACATTAAGACTTTATTTTATCTTCTGCCATTTTGCCCAAGTCAGTGATGACAGTTTTAGCTGATAGGTAGCAGGCATGTGAGTAAAGCAGGAGATCCAGCTCCTTGGTCTCTTGTATTCCTATATTTAAAAAGTCTGGAAAGCTGATAAAGGCATTTCATTATGACTGAAAACCACTGAAATCAAATCCATGCCAAGATTCCTGCTTGATACATGTTCCTCAGAAGATATCTTTTTCAACATATACAAGGCTGAGAAAGGCATATTTAAGGGAAGGAATATCACCTACGCAGTATATCAGTTTTTCAACATGACTTAGAAAAGGCAAAGCTCCTTCATTCGGAAATTAGGTCTTCTCTTCACATACTCTGCCAAAATACATAGTCTGGCCAAAAGACGCAGGAGTCTTGATGATCTGCTCATCTTTTAAACCTTGCAAATAAAGATGAGGAAATGCCCATCACGTGGACATCAACTGACCTAATCAGATGGACCAAACAGGTCACTTTTCAGAACCTACTTTCATATCTAAACTGAGTCACTGCAGACCAATATAAAGCTCATTCTTTTCCAAAAAACTACTATTGCTGTAACACTTCTAGGGTTTGACATCATTGGGAAGGCACAATGCAATTTAAGAAATGAATTGTTACACCCACAATGGCTAGCATAGTACTTATGTCATATCACTAAGTGCCTTTTCTTTTTAATAAGTTTCATATTCCTAGGCTTTTCTTTTGTTTCTGCAGTGCTTACTAGGAAAAATGAAACAGAATCCAGTAAGAAAGTTCTAGTCTATTTAAAAGGCTTTAAATCAGAAAGTTTCTTGCTATCATTGGATGAGCATATGAGGGATCAACCATTGGAAACTAGACATCCAAGATACCTCTCCTAAAAACCAGTCCCACAATTCTACTACTCGAATTTAGAATCCTACAGAGGAGATAAGATAAAAATGCCACACTCTATCCCACTATCCAAAATTCTCTCAGAAGCTTAAACCAGACATAAACTATTAAAAATATCAGAGGTATAGCTTCTGTTAAATGACTACTAATCGGTTTCTCCCAAAATTTGCACACAATATCTAATACAGATGAGAATTTATACTTACTGAATGTAAAAATCTAAAATAAGAAAACACTGTGTTAAATCTCTTAATGTTTTTGTTCACACATTGTACATTTCCCCCTCAAAATAAAAATATTACACATGTATCCTTTATCCTTCTATCCTGCAATATTAATAAAAATATAAAGCTTTAAAACTTTTAAATCTACCAGCATTTATAAATACAATTATATTAAACAAGTTAAATACTTTTCTTTAGAAGACATTTAAATAAGTGATAGATTAACAAAACTTTCTTACCATTTATGATAATGTGTCATTAAAATTAAAGAAAGATATGAAAATAGAAGAATGCTCCCATTAATATAAAAGAATCGGGGGCTGTTAAGTGTGACGGATGATCCAAGTCCGGATGCCTTGCTCTTGAACAGAATGCTGGGTTAGGAAGTAAGAGTATTTCCTGGTTAATCACTCAGAAAATTAGGTCTTTCACAGAGTTTCTTCCCTGGAATTCCTGACCCATTTAGACCTGTGATCTTGGTGACCTCAAATGCCTTTGTTTCTCACACAATCTTCTCTAAAAGGATCACACCGCGACGTGACGCAGATAGACTGAACTCCTTACTGGAGTTGTGTTGAGTACAGTCTGAGAGCAGCAAGACGACTAAGCAGCACACACACAGATTATTCTCCAGTACCATAGATGCAGCAGTTTTCAGATGCTTCTTGACTGTACGGAAGGCCAGACTTTTCATTTGAAAGGGATCTGGGCAGCAAAAAGAATGACTGCTGCATGTTTAGTAGTTTTCAGGGTAAATAATTTGAAAAGAACAGCTGTAGGAAATACCAAATTCCCAATTCTCAATTAACAAAATTCTCAATTAACAAAACAAAAATATTTTTTTTCCTTAACAGAACTGAAAAAATCCCAACAGTGTGTCATGTGCAAGGCTAGTTTGCCTCCAGCTACAGCTAGTGCACAATGTCACATTTACCATCCATTCCTCACTCTTTCAATTCTTCCTCCTTTGGAAAGTGCTCCTGCTTGCAAGCCACGTCCACCAGCAGATGAAGATCTAGAAAGAAAGAAGGTTTGTTTACTCACTCTTCGCCTCTCAGACTGTAGAGTTCCATAGACAAGTCTTCAGACAAGAAGAATAAGTCACTCATGTTCCACCTGTAGAACTGTTCTAAAATTGTATCATTTCATCAGATTCTCAACTTTATGGCATTTCTGCACCTCTACAGGACACAGATGCAGCCCAGTTGTTAACCCAAAGAGACCAACAAAGTTTTAAGTTTCTATCCTTTCAGTGATGTGGCCAAGTCTCTTTTCAATTGCCTTTATTTTTTTTTTTAAAGATTGGCACCTGAGCTAACATCTGTTGCCAATCTTTTTGTTTTTTCTTCTCCTCCTCAAATCCCCCCAGTACATAGTTGTATATTTTACTTGTGGGTCCTTCTAGTTATGGCATGTGGGATACCACCTCAGCGTGGCCTGACGAGTGGTGCCACATCCATGCCCAGGATCCAAACTGGTGAAACCCTGGGCCACCGAAGTGGAGGGTGCGAACTTAACCACTCGGCCACGGGGGCCGGCCCCTCAATTGCCTTTTATTATAAATGAAAAATTAAGAAAAAGTATCAAACTGAAATATACACACACAAATTAAAATTCATTTCTTCAATGCTACAAGGTTAGGTGGGTGGGTTGTGGAAAAATGAAAAAGCAATGCCTTCAGAAATACAACATTAAAATAAGTAATCACTACTTTTCCAAAGTTGATTGCCTCCATAAAACTTATACTTATTGACTAACACAGCTGATCTCTTCTAAAAACACCTAGCTGAACTGTTTGTAAAAAAAAAAAAAAAAGCATACCCTTCCCTGAGGTCAAGCAACAAAGACTGGCTCATTAAGAATGGAAAGTAGGGGCTGGCCCCATGGCCGAGTGGTTAAGTTTGCGCGCTCCGCTTCAGTGGCCCAGGATTCAGGTCCTGGGCGTGGACATGGCACCGCTCATCAAGCCATGTTGAGGCAGCGTCCCATGTGCCGCAACTAGAAGGACCCACAACTAAAAATATACAACTATGTACTGGGGGGCTTTGGGGAGAAAAAGGAAAAATAAAATCTTTAAAAAAAAAAAAATAATGGAAAGTAAAAACAGTGAGCTCTCAGCTCAGGTACTAGGTTCTGTAATAGAAAAAGCTAAGACCAGGTATAGTAGTAGAGTTAAATGGCCTACCTGAGTAACACAGGCAGAAATAAAAGGATCCTAATGTGGCTTCTAGACTCAATCTAATTATTTTACCATTTCCAGCACAACATGACCAAGGAGTCTTAGGTTGGTTTTTAAGCTTACAATTTTGCCCTAGTAGCATTTAGAGTTAAACTAAACTAGACAGCATGAGTCTTTTATTTCATTCTAGACATAGACAGACTTTTGTCACTGTATTTGTAGAACACGGACTCTGCGTGATTGATCCACAGCCTGGGCAAGAGAGCTGATTCAATGAAATAATTCTACTACCACCTTTGAGAAAATCTAGAAAGTATCTGGAACAGTACGTAATTGTTGCCATATCTTGTAAAAGGTAGACCAGTTACACTAGGGGCAGGTATTTGCCCATCTGGTGAACTACACTACAACCCGTTAACAAAGAACAAGCAATTTATCCAGATAAGCATCCTGTACAGGGAGAACAGACCATCAGTTTATCACTTAAAATTGGCTCCTTGAACATCCATGATCATAGCACCATTATTCACAATAGCCAAAAGGTGGAAGCAATCCAAGTGTCCATCGATGGATGAAGGGATAAACAAAATGTGGTATATACATGCAATGGAATATTATTTAGCCTTAAAAAAGGAAGAAAATTCTGACACGTGCTACAACATGGATGAACTTTGAAGACATTATGCTAACTGAAAAAAGTCAGTCACAAAAAGGACAAATACTGTATGATTCCACTTATACAAGGTACCTAGAGTACTCAAATTTATAGCAACAGGAAGTAGAATAGTGCCAGGGGCTGCAAGGAAGGGAGTTATTGTGTAATGGATATGCAGCTTCAGTTTGGGAAGATGGAAAAACTTCTGGAGATGGATGGTGGTGATGGTAGTACAACAATGCGAATGTACTTAATGCCACTGAACAGTACACTTAAAAATGGTTTAAAACGGTAAATTTTGTTATGTATATTTTACCACAAAAATGGCTTCTTTACAATCTAAATAATAAGTGATAATAACAGTAGTAGCTTATGTTTATATAACATTCTTTTTCCAGGTAACTAAAATGCATTATTACAAGGTCATCTAGTTAATCCTGAGGAGTAAATAGACACTATACAGCTAATAGGTAAAGCCAGTGGTTTCTAACCCTCGCTGCACATTGCAATCACCTGGGGGGGTCTTTAAAAAAACACTGATCTCTAGAGCTCCTGCCCTCCTACATTTTGATTTAATTGGTATCGAGTGCAACCCTAGGCATTAGGATTTTTAAAAGCTGACCAAAAGACATGGAAGGAGTAACACCTAATTATGATCACTCTCTAAACACCTCAGCCATCTATTAGAACAGGAGGGACAGGCCATATGGTAACAGAAAATACTAAAATAAGCTTTTGGAATATGAATAGACACAGTTGTGACCCAACTTTGAAAGCAGAGCAAGAATTCTTGACAATGACAAAGGTAAAGACTATTGAATCAACTACAGATTTCATATGGGGAGGTAGACTGAAGAACAAAAGACACAAACCCTTTTTTTTTCAATGAACAAATGCTATTTATTTAATTGCTTATTAAGACTTTATCATATTGATAGGTTCAAATCATAGACAAGAACACATCAAAGATAGGCATGTTTAAAATAACAATAGCCTATATGGCTCTGTAATAGCCTCGTAATGAGTTGTGTATAGTAAGTAGCGTGAGCAACAAACCCTCTTAACCTTAATGATTGGGCTTTAAAGCAGCATTTGGCACACAGCTTCTAATAACAAGCATCTAAATATAATAATTTTATTAAAGTGAGCTTCCTTCATTAACAAAGAAGTCAATCAAAATGTTAGCATATAGAGACCAATAAAAATACAAAAAAACATAGACTAGCCTGCTGCTACTAGACATTTACATGACTCCGTTCAGAAGAGCATCTTGCACACTCATCAGAGAAGATAAGTATTTGGAAATGACAAGAGCCGAACTGGTTTGAGAACTGAAAGAGCTCGGGGGACAAGAGCATTGTTCAGGAATCTTAATTCCTCCCGAGAGCACCTTCTAGGGTTTTGGGGCTATCACCTTCATGAAATCTCATCCATAATCCAATAGCTACAAAATGGGAAGCCCTTTCTTTAGGAACGAATTGAACTTTGCTCTTAAACATTCAGCTTCCCTTAGCTATAAAGTAAATATTCGATGAGAACATAAGAAAGCGTAGCTTCCACAATAAGATTAATATTTGGGTATATTTAATTTAGGGTAATATCAGTATAGAAATTGGAGGAACAAGATTGAGTCTAATTTTCTTTACCTCTTTGTATTTTTGATCCAAAAGGTATTTCCTTAAGTCAACCCGTGCTCAAAAGGCCTACACGCAGCTTGGCAATGACGGTGATTAACAGCCTCCTTCTAACAAAATTCCCATCTATTGAAATCAATGCAATCTAGATACCTAATCAACTTAAGTCTCTTATTCGAAAAGAAATTCAAAGAAAGCTACAAGTGTGAGAAGACGCCCCTTCTTAAAAAGGGCAGACAAATTTTCAAAATAATTCCGTTACAGAAGGGCACTGATAAGTTCTGGAATACAGGATGCCCCTGTTCAATGGGCTACTCAGCAACATAACGACATTCCAACAGTTAATGTGAGAATTATAGTGTTTCAGAATTTGGGGCCAAAGGAGTCTTTAGAGGTGATTTCATGAAATTCTCTTATTTTTACCATAAATAATGTATTGTGGGAATTGGAACCTCATTGAAGGGAAACACTTTTAATGATAGTGACAGTTGAAATTTCAGTGATACTTCAGGAATTTTACATTTGGTTCCTATTATTAATACTTTAACCTTGAAGTTTAGTATCTATCAAAATAAACAACATTTGGTTATCTACAAGAACTAAAGTGAACACTAGTCTATTTTGAGTCTTCCCCAAAAGTACCTCCTCTTTATTTTTTTTTTAAAGATTGGCACCTGAGCTAACAACTGTTGCCAATCTTTGGGTTTTTTTCTGCTTTTTCTCCCCAAATTCCCCCAATACATAGATGTATATTTTAGTTGTGGGTCCTTCTAGTTGTGGCATGTGGGATGCCGCCTCAACATGGCCTAATGAGTGGCGCCATGTCTGCGCCCAGGATCCGAACCGGCGAAACCCTGGGCCACCAAAGCCAAGCACATGAACTCAACCACTCAGCCACAGGCCCAGCCCTTCCTTACTCTCTTAAAGCTTCTCTGGTCATCAGTGATCAGCCCTGTGAAAAGATCAGAAGCTAACAAGAAGGACTTTCTTTTTATTTTTTTTTTAATTTTTGTTTGTTTTTGGGTTTTTTTCTGCCTTTTCTCCTCAAATGCCTCCAGTACATAGTCGTGTATTTTAGTTGTAGGTCCTTCTGGTTGTGGCATGTGGGACGCTGCCTCAGTGTGGCCTGATGAGTGGTGCCATGCCTGCGCCTAGGATCCAAACCGGTGAAACCCTGGGCCACTGAAGTGCAGTGCGCAAACTTAACCACCCGGCCACGGGGCCAGCCCCAAGGACTTTCTAATATGGGGTGCAACAGACTGAATGTTTGTGTCCTCCAAAAATTCGTATGTTGAAACCTAACCCCCAATGTGACGATGTTAGAAGGTGCGACCTTTGGGAGCTGATTAGGTCATGAGAGTGGAGCCTTTATGAATGAGATTAGTGCATTATAAAAGAGATCCCAGAGAGCTCCTTCATCCTCATCCCTTCTGCCATGTGAGGACACAGCAAGATGTCTGTCTGTGAACCAGGAGGCAAGCTCTCACCCACCAGACACTGAATCTGCTGGCGCCTTTAACTTGGACTTCCCAGCCTTCAAAACTGTG